TCCAGAATATATCTGACATGTGTCTCATTTCCCTTTTGGTATATCCCATTTTATCTATCCATCACTGCTATACACATGAAATTTGGTCCAGAATTATTAATTCTACTGAGTATTCAAGGCCCAGTTCAGAATCTATCTCTCATGCATTCTCTGTAAAACCTTTGCAGGCTACTCTTGTATACCAATGTCTTGTAAATAAATCCCACTCCAGCATTTTCTCCTTATGGAAGCTTCTCTAATCACTGAAATATGAAGATCTTAACTGAGTCCCTTCCTAGCATCCCTGACCTCTCCATCACACAGAACATAAAGTGTTTCCCTAGCATTATGACCATTTCGAATGCTTAAGTGATGCTGCTTCACTTAGTATAAGGAGAAACTGAAGTTGGGGGAGGGATGAAAGACATAATATGGACAATGCATGTTGATAACAATAAAACAACCAGGGGATGTTGATTTATAATGGAGTGGGTACAAAGTATTCTAGATTCTACACATCCAAAGCACAAATGCTAAGATGAAATCTTTCCTGGCACTCTGCAAGTGCGCATATTGAAAAGTGTCTCCCTTCTTGGTGTGGTTGAAATCAGGCAAGTTATAGCCTGGAACTGAGTACAATTTTACTTCCATAAGACTAAATAATAGACCTGCACACACACACACACACACACACACACATATGTATATATACACAAACACACATACACACACACACACACATATATATATATATGCAGGTCTATTATTTAGTCTATACATACATACTTATTTATGTATATACATATAGATATATATGCTTATGCTTAGCATGAATTACATATAGCAGCTGGATGTTGTTCTCCTCTTTAAAGTTGCTGTCTGGATCAGTTCTGTGTAACTGCACAGACATCCAGAATACCAGTGATAACATCCCAGTGATAAGATTCCAATATTCACTACAGTTCTCACACAAGGGATTTAAGGTTATTATTTACTTCAGAATAAATGAAGCTAATTATACTCACAGTATATAAAACACAACAGGCAGTTACAGTTGTGACTGTTTGTGAGTCATACTTTTCAACTGGTTGACAAAGCTAGCCACTAAAATAAGCTATAACAATCCTATATCACTACCACTAAACTGGTTTTGAGGCTGCTGAAGCCTCAGATAGCCTCAGATAACAGGCAAGAGCAACCTGAACATCAAATCACCCAGCGCAGTGATGACACTTCACACATTAGTACTGGCCTTATTGTTGAGACATCTAAGCAATTATTTTACTTGCCAAACACCACCAATATCAAATTGCACCAAAAAGGAAAGCTATCTATATCAGCAGATTTTTATACTACAATGAAAATAAACAACAAAATGTGTAACAAAACCATGTCTAAAGCTCCATTTATTAATAATAAATTAAAACACCATCTGCAAGCAACCTTCAGGTTTAACCTGATATAAATAGGCTTTTTATTCTTTTCAGATGCAGTTCTCAGAAAAATCTTCCAAGCCTAACCAACCATAGACTACATTAGCCTGTTTTATTTAAAGTTGTATAAAATGTAATAAATTCTTCAGCATAAAGTTTTTAGCAAATTATTTAGTTAAGTAAGATGCCCCATATGAAAAGCTTCTGGCACATTGCAAAAATGCTGGTTAAAATGTTAACATTCCTATTGTGATAATGACATTTTAAGAAGTATGCAAATATGTCAAGAATAAGAAATTAAAATGTCTCCACTACATAAGTATAGACATATAAACATATTTTAATAAGCATAAATCAATATATTTTAATAATGCTTTGTAATCCCTCAGTACACAAACATAATATTATCTTCATTTGGGGTGAAAGGGAACAGGGATTGTTGAATGCCCCAAAAAGGTTCTGTGAAATTCACTAACACAACAGGTCAGCTTCCTGTCTGTCACCAGAACCTGGGACCAGTTGTGAGTGCTCTGAGAAATACTGCTATAGCTCCATGGCTAAAAGATCTTTAGCAATAATTCTAAGTAATTTTGCCACTCATCAAAGATGACTATATGGAGTAAGCACCCGGAATTCAGTGCTTGGAATTCTTGGCGCCAGGATCTGGGGCTGGATTCTAACACTAAGTGCTTTTGAAGAGTGCATCAAGATTTAATAGGGTAAATTTTCAGACATGGTCAGAGTTTTAGCCACATAAATTCCATTAGGTTCAAAGCTCCATAGTGCTCCATCCTGTCTATATTTATGCCCACATTTTAATCTACATCTTTCTAAGCTCTCTCTGTTGGACTTCTTAACCTCTCATTTTCTTTCCTCCCCTTTTTGGTTTTAAATTACCTCTAAATTCTGTCTATGCCTCTGGCTTTAGAGCTCTAATCTTCCTTCTCCCCCTCTTTACAAATCCTTTCTTGAAGTCTGTGTTTTGAAATAAACTCTCTTTACTTATTCCTTACCTTGCACCTGATCCATTTTTTTTTCTCCAAAACTCTACTAGCACTAAGGGCTGCATATGCATAAACCATTCCTTGCATAATCATCTCCAGAGCTGAAGACAACTCAGACTCTTTGAAAATGTGCCAGAGCATTGAGGGAAAGCGTGAAGTCATTTCTGAATCTGGGTCAGCCATTTTGTGAATAAATAAGTGAGAGGATTACAATGGAATAGGTTTCACCGAGTCTGCGACCTGTCACTCCACTAATACAGGAAAACATGATAGCAAGGTGATTTGCAGAACAGTCCTGTCCAATGGCTCTACTGTGGACAGAGAGGACAACAGGAGATGCCAGGACAAAGAAGAGACAAGAATGATAGGCCAAGCTGCATATTATTCAACTCAGGTTTCTTTGGGGTTTTAAAGTATTAAAACCCACTATTAAGTTATCCAGTCAAAATTAAGATTAGGATTTGTTAATCTCTATTACACAGAGGTAGAGTGAGATACTGACAAACAGGAAATGATTCAAGAAACATAGCTGAAGACAAATTTTTTTGGCCTTTTTATCTTTCATCATGTTACTTGCTTAACATTATAGCTGTGAAATGTACTCCAGTAACCATTTTGAAATTCATTCAACAAACATTTATTGAAAATCTATTGGGTGCCAGGTGATTGGAAGGCACTCGGGATACAGCGAAAAATGAGATATTGCTTGCCATACAGCGAAAAATGAGATATTGCTTGCCCCCAAGGAGCTTCCAGTCTACTAGAGGAGATGGATACATAGACAGCAACTATAATACAATGAAATAAGTGCTGGGCAAGGTATTAATAACAAAGCATTAGAGGAGTCAGAGAAAACACTTAGTAATTGAGCGTGGAGGTTCTGGGAAGCCTTCACAGATAGGGTGACAACTGAGCAGACCTGAAGGAGAAACAGGACTTTAATAGACAGGGAGGTGGTGAGCAACACCCAGGTTGAGGGGACTGAGTGTAGACAAAATAATAAAGTAATGATAGGAAATAAAAGCATGATATGCATGAATGCATGATATGACAGGGAATTCCAGGTAGTTCTACATGAATGGAATTTCATCTAAGTTTGGAGTAGTAGTGAAATATGAAGCCAGAAATGGAATATGAAACCAGAGAGTAAGGAGCCTTATATGTGTGGCTAACAAAGCTAGATGTTTTTTTTGGAAGTAATGAGAAAATACTGAAAAGCAAAAGCAAGGACTTACATGGTCAGATCTGACTGTAAGATCAGTGTGTAAGGAAGAGACTAGAGGCCAATGAGATGAGTTAGGAAGGTCAGTTAAAAGGGCTCACACAGCATTCTGGGTGTGAGATGCTTACAGGTGGTTAAAAGGAAGCAACAATGAAGAAAAACAGACAGATCAGAGAGAGAGAGAGAATGAGGAGGAAAGCTTGACAAGATTTGATGAATGATGAGACAATAAGCAAAATTCTTCCACAAAAAAAACCAAACAATATTGAAACATACATCTAGAACAACCTACAGCCCTGGGTCTGCTATCATCCTCTTAAATCACCATATCTACTGTGCATGAATTCAAGATGAGCTATAGGGTTCGCGTAGTCTGACTTCTCTAATTCACACATCACTAACTTGGAAACTGTAACAATTCAGACTAACTGCCTGTCACTCCTATTGAGTAAGAATATTAACCTATTTTCCTCCTCTTTTCAAGCCTTTAGTCACCCATAAAAGGAATCCAATGTAAGGCCATGACTTCTGCCAATCAAATGCTTGAGGCAGAGTGGGCAGCCTCTTACATGGAGGTGTCTAAGAAACATGCCCACCACCTACGTGCCACAGTGTCTACAATACAACAGTTAGGGAATCATTCCTTTGGGAGACACTTTGGCATCTCTTTGGTTTCTCTTTTACAAGGCAACAGCTCCTGAAAGAGGCAGAGTATTTTAGTGAAATTTGGTTGTTCATATTGTGCTTTGCTGTGAAACAAGGGTCAAAGGTAGAATCAGAGGGATATACAGGTATTTGTCTGGGGAAGAATGTGATGCGGGAAAGAAGACTGAAGATCACTGAAATGATATTAACATCTCACCAACACTGCCCTCTAGACACTTAGGAAACTGAGATCCTTAAGGAAGTCCTTCCACTTCAGGATGCCCAGTTTTCAAACTTGTACTTCTTGTACCTTAAGGAACTTGTGTTTTCTATTTGTAATACGCCATTTAGTAGCTTGTGTACACCTATGGTGTTCATATTTTTTCAAGAGCTTTATATGACTTATAGACCAGTTAAAATCTCAACTCTTACTCATTTGTACATAATATTACTACAAATGTACTTTTTAAAACTATTTTATAGAGATGTTTCATTCACATAAACAGACCTTGTATTTTTTATATTCCAAGTTACGCAGATTTAACTGGACTTGCACTACTCAGTTATGTCACCGGTGACAGAACATCAAGAATCAAACTGACCTTGAAGGTTTCCATATACAGCTCAATAACTTTAAGAGCTTCTAAGGCATACTTGGAATAGAAGTTAGAAAAGCCAACTAAAAAAAAATGAAACAAAATTTTAAAAATTACTTACTTCACTTGTTTGGAGAATGGTGAACTTGGGTAGTTTAGTCTTTGAACTGGCTGTACTGGGTTTTCCATCCAAGAGGGACCCAAAAGACAGATTCCCAAAGCTGTTTTCAAATTCAATGGAAGGTTTCAGTGTCGGAGAGATGTCTGGTGTCTGCTCCTGGCCATCCATGGGTCTTACATAGGCAGTCGGCTTTTGCTGGCCCATGCTTGTTTTGCAGTAAAGCCCTGGTGGGAAGTTCTGAATGGAAAGGCCACTGCTGGGAGCTAGCAAAGATGAGGCAACTAGGGGAGAGCCAGGTGTTTGCACTGTAAATTCAGATTCTTCAGGTGAGTTGGATTGAAAGATTTCTTTGAAAGCCTCTTCTCCACTAGACTTGGTGTTTCTGTCTTCCTTGGCAGATGGGTTTGACTCTTCAACTGCACCAGTTTGGGGCTGCTCAGCCGGATAGACAAAGAAGTCTTCCAATCTGGCTTGAGGCTGGTCCTGTGTGGAAGTCTGTATCTTGTTTGGCTGACTGCTGGCCTGGCTTGCTGGTCCAGTGCTTGTATTTTGACTATCTCGTGACCACTCAGGTTTCGGTTTTCTGTTGCTATGTATTAGAGTGGAATTCAGGATCACGACAGAGGGTGGAGGCATTGGTGCCGAGGAGGAATGGGTATTATCTTGATGTGGTGGGATCATTCGGTTCTTTTGTTCTGGAAAAAAGCTCGATTCATTTTTGTTGATGGGTGTCTGGGGCACAGAATTCTTTGGGATCCCCACTAGATGATTGTGATTAGAATGGCTAGTTAGCAAATCCTTCATTTCATCATAGTTTCCAAGCGTGTTCTGGACCCGGTTGGCAAGGGCATCACCTTTGTTTGTCTAAAATAACAAAAAGATGGGGGTGGGAGGAGAGAGAATGAATAGGTTTTTGTTTCCTAATGTTAATGTTTCAAACAGATGCCTTACGTAGGCTCGCAGAAAGGGTTCTTTAAAATAGCCATGCTGCAATATAATTCCATACTTTTTACAGGCTATTTAAAAAAAATCAATAATGCTATTGAAACAGCTTCTTGGTAGGAGCAGGTATGATTAACAGTTGCTATCCTGCCTGGCCTGTCCTTAAGCTTGTAATGAGCAAGTTGTAAAATTATGTCATTTATAAAATAACTTCTTTTAGGTCAGATGAGCTGAATCGTTGGATTATATATTATAATTAACAACTTTCATTTGCTTATTATTAGAATGATAATAGTATGTACAACTTATATATTTTGGAACAATTAGCCTTTGTACTGCATTAGACCATAAAAAAGATTTAGCCCATTAGATAAAAAATTCAGTTAACTGGCGCTATCCTGACTACACAAATTTGAGAATAGGCATGTGAATAAACAGCATCTGATTGTGCTAACTTATGACTAAAGGGAATCCAATTCCTTTGAATCCAAGAATGGTATAAATTACTGGTGTCTGCCTACATACTCTGGGGCGACTGTTTCTACACATTGATGATTCATACTCGTTTACTTTGAAATGATGCAATTGTTCATCAACAGTGACTCAAACTCTCCTGTGTCTTTGCAATGATTTAGAAAATATTTACGAATTTAAACTGTTGCTTAAGTAAATCAAAACAAAGACATCTTTTCAAAGTGATGCTAGCTGAATGTGTAGGAGTAACTGAGGTAAGCAAATCAATTTATGGACAATCAACAGACCAGCTACATCATCCCCTGAAGGGTATGCTAATCTTTGAAAATGAATGTAATTGTTTTAAAAATAATTAAGTTCCTGTATGCGCAAAGCTTTTATGACTAGCACATGGTGGGTAGCTGTTTATTTGGGAATTAATTTGAACAAAGTTCAGTTGTTCACTCTCAAAAATGAGTTTTATTATTCTATTTATATATCATAAAGGTTATCAAAATGAACTATTCAATTCCGAAGGGCAAAGGACATCTTTATGCTTAGGCTGCACTGTTTAGGCCCAAGATACTGCAAGGAAAGAAGATACGGCAAGGAAAGACTAAGGTTATCCTTAAAGCCATCTGGCTCCTGGGCCATTAAAAAAGTAAGGAGATACCTCATATGGCCATTAGGTCCCAGAAGTCTATGCACAGAAGGCAGTGATCATCTCCAATTTGGCAGTTTTCCATTGAAGATAGATGTTTCATGTTTGATATGTTCCGCATGTCCTCAACTTAGTCAGATTGCCTGGTATATACAGGGAATAAACTTATCCAAGTCTAAAATCGAGTCCAAACCTAAGTTGTATGACTGTACTGTTCACTGTATGTGAAGACTGGAGAATATGTAGGTGGAGGGATGGTGAAGTTCCAGAAATGGATGAAATCACCCAGGGAAAGAAAATGTTGTGAGAAGATCAGGCTCAGGAAGAACCCTGGGATACATCAACCTTTAAGAGACTGGGGAAACAGGAGCCGCCATCAAAGGATACCAAGAAGGAGCAATCACAGACAAAAGCAAACCAGAAACCTTGGCCTCATTATTCCCATGATCTGCATGTATTTATGAAATCTGTAAACCATAGCACGTGTTCAATCACAAGACTCTTGCAAAGAAATGAGAGCAGTTAGAGAAATGTGTATATAGAAGATGAAAAAATGCATGCGAAAGGAGTTGTGGGAGAGGATGAGGATCTTTAGAAGTTGAATAAACATTCCACTTTAAGAGTGCTTATCCTCAAAGACATCTTGTGTTGGTTCATGCAACCTTGGTGCGGAAGTTGCGATTCAGTGATTAACACTGTATAAAATTCTCTGCTGAATAAGTTCTCCCTTTTCAGAAACACATTTGAAAGGTATAGTTGAAAGACAAAGATGGGTAGAAATCACTTTTATTTCATAAAACTCCCTAGGTTTTTCATTTTTAATGGCAAAAGTGTTGCATTTTCAACAGAAGATTCTTGCAAAGGCAACAATCAACTCTTCCTATGTAGCAGTTTCCTTCAACTAAGCTGTGCAATGGTCCATTTGGGCAACAGCCAAACCAAATCAAGTCTCTCTTCAATCCCTAAATGTCACTGTGCAGATGGCCCAAAAAGGATTTTCTGTAGGCTTGAAACCTGTTTTAGGGTTGTTCTAGCCCCACACACAGACTACCTCTTAAGTCAGATGACTGAATGTCTAACACTGAACACTGGCTATGTTTCAGGATCTGACACTCACAGGGGAACAATGCTATTTAATTTCCCATTTCAAATACCTTCATTTTACTGTTATTGAAATGGGGAGCTATAGAATTAGATCATTTTTTCTGTGGCCTATCAGCACCACATGTCATAGCCGTAAGAAGTCATTCCCTTCTCCATGTCTATCATCAACACCCCAGAAATTCATTTCTCATTTGCTGTTAAGCAAGTTTATTGCATGCTATCTATGAGTGTGAGTGTGAGTGAGTGTGTGTGTGGGGCGTGTGTATTGGTCTTGGGGGCTTGAGGCTCAAACTCAGAGCCTGGATGCTGTCCCTGAGCCTTTATGTTGAAGGCTAGCACTCTACCACTTGACTCACAGCTCCACTTCAAGTGTTTTGGTGGTTCATTGGAGATAAAAGTCTCTCAGAGTTTCCTGCTCAAGCTTCAAACCGTGATCCTCAGATCTCAGCCTGCTGAATACCTAAGATTACAGGCATGAGCCACCCATCCTATTCTTATTTCAGTGTCTTGTTCTCAATGAGAAAAAGCATGTGTAGGTTTTAATGTCTTTTCTTTTGTGTTTACTGTTCTCCTGGTCAAGGTTTCTAAGGTATGCCAATACATTTTTAATATCTATGTTTTAAACTATACTTGAAATTAGGAGAGCTTCTAAAACAATGCACATTACTTAAGGTAAGGGGAAATTACAATTTCTCTAAGTCTTAGGAAAATCAATCTCCTATTATGTAGTATATACAACATACCTATAATTTCTACCCTTGAATAAATTTATAGCTTTTCAAAATCAGAGAGCAATGTTAGTCATCTTCATGTCACCAAGACTTTGCACTATGTCTAGTGCACAGTAAGTATTCAATATTGATATAAATTGAACAGAACTGAATTCTACTCCGGTATCTCCCTATGTCACAATAAATGATATATAATGGCTTTGAGTAAAACATACAATAGTAGAAAGGCAAAAGTAATGCTAACTTAGCTTCTTTGAACAATAAACTGAAATTTCTGAGGTTCTTGGTATATAAGGTTAAAAGACAAGGTTCCTAGGGACACACTTATCTTTATCTGATGAAAGAAAGCAAATTTTTAATTCCAGTATTGGAACTTAAACTCAGGACCAGGGAATTGTTCATTAGCCTTCAGGTGATAGCTATTGTTTTACCACTTTACCCATACCGCTACTTCTGGCTTTTTGCTGGCTAATTGAACACAGCAATCTCTTTTGCTGTTTGTGTGTGTGTGTGTGTGTGTGTGTGTGTGTGAGAGAGAGAGAGAGAGAGAGAGAGAGAGAGAGAGAGAGAGAGAGAGAGAGTTATGGGGCTTGAACTCTGGACCTGGGCACTGTCCCTGAGCTCTTCAGCTCAAGGCTAGTACTCTACTACTTGAGCAACAGCACCACTTCTGGTGTCTATTGGAGATAAGAGTCTCATGGACTTTCCTCCGCAGGCTGGCTTTGAACCATGCTCCTCAGATCTCAGCCTCCTGAGTAGCTACCCATGCCTGGCTCACTTTTGCTTTTTTGTCAAAGCTACCTTCAAACCTGGATGCTCAGATCTCAGCTTCCTAAGTAGCTAGGGTTATAGGTGTGAACCACTGGTGCTTCTTCTAACAAGCCTGAAGGCAAATCTAAAATAGGACAAATTATTGTCTAGCATTCAAATACGAAAAATAAATTTTTTTATTGGTTTAATTTTCTTAAGATTTTTAAAGCAATAATATAAATCGTTTTCACCATCCATTTTCCAAAAGGTGCCAAGATGTTCCTAATGTGGAATTTTTTTTCTTTTTTCTTTTGTCAGTCATGGGGCTTGAACTCAGGGCCTGGGTGCTGTGCCTGAGTTCTTCAGCTCAAGGCAAGCACTCTACCCCTTGAACCACAGTGCCACTTCTGGTTTTCTGGTGGTTAATTGGAGATAAGTGTCTCATGGACTTTCTTGCCCAGGCTGGCTTTGAACCACGATCCTCAGATCTCAGTCTCCTGAGCAGCTAGGATTATAAGCATAAGCCACCAGCACCTGGCTCTGGAATATTTTCTTTTGGTGACTAAAAAAAAAACAAAACAAGAGAATGGCATTGAAGTCTAACTCAGTGATAGAATGGCTATATGTCAGATTAGGGGTTTCAGCTGACAGGATCAAGAAGTGTTAGCTTTCTTGTGCACTTATTCATAGGAATTAAGCTGTGATAACCTGTAGAAATGGAGGGCTGTCATCTGTCTTTAGACTAGTTTCCTCAGAGAACAACTGTCTCAGAACTCCTTGGAACCGAAGCTGCATAGCACATAGTTCAAGTTTGAGTTCATTCATGACACTGAGTTTCTGTGTTGCCGAAGGAAGGAAGGTTCATATGCTTTGGTAGGAATTACTGTGGTCATTTTCATGACAGATACTGATGATTTCAAAATGCTCATGAAGCAGGATTGGGAACAGGGGACACAAAGCACAGAGCCTCTAAAAGTCCACCATGTAATAAACACCAAATAACAGTCCAATACAAGTTGCCGGAGTTGTCTTCCCTCCAATTTAGATAGGCAATTGCTATCCAGTCTTTTAAATGTGTCAGAATATCTATATGAGAGCCCCTGGATAGAAAACCCAGTCGAGACTGAAAGCCATTTGTGTATACCAATACCCGTCATTATATACTGTATATGTGTATATCATACCCTTCATTATATACTGTAGCAACTTCTGATTCACACTAA